TTTGATCTCTCAAGAAGACAGCCGAGGAAAAATCAATCTTTTTTCTTTTTTCAAACAAAGCACAAAAAACAAACACACATATACATATTTACATCCCCCACCCCATACTTTTAAAAGTTACATATCCCCATAACACAAAAAAATAAAGTAGGAGGGAAAATAAACTCCCCTGAATCATCTAGTCTAGGTCTGAATCAAAGTCGGGATCCACTTTGCATGCCCGACCCAATGCAAACATCCATGCTGAAGGTTTTTTATGCCTTCTTTAGGTACACCCCACCCTTGTCATGCTTACCCTCTCCAGATTTCACTTTTAGGGCCCTTGACTTGAATTCAGAGTGTGCAGTCAGCTCGTCTCTAGGTGCTCCCGTTGCTTCCTCCATCTTTAAAACCACCATTTCTACCCCCACTTTGAGCATGAGTTGCCTTTCCTGAATGTCCAGAATAGCTCTGTAGTAGCCAATAAAGGTATCCCTAAAATCATAGGGACCTACCTATTCTCTTCCACATTCACCACAATGAAGTCTACAGAGAACACAAATTTATCCACCGAAACTAGCACATATTTCACTATTCCTTCAGGTATGATTGTGGTCTGATATGCCAGCTGCAATGACACAGGTATAGATCTGATTTCTCCAATCTTTCCTTCTAATTTCCTAAAAATAAACAAAGGCATATGATTAATAGAAGCACCCGAATCACACAAAGAGTTTTCAAACTTAGCACTTTCTTAAGAGCAAGGTATAGTAAAACTCTCTAAATCTCCACACGCTTGAGGGAACTTATTTTTGCAGAATAGCACTACAATGCTATGTGAGCATGGCAATCGATGTCTCTTCCACCTTACGCATGTCGGATAATATCTCCTTCAGGAACTTAGCATAGGTAGGTATCTAAGAGAGCACCTCTGTAAAAGGTAGATTAATATGTGCCTACTTGAGTCCTAGAAAATGCCCGAATTATTTGTCTAGCTTCTCTCTTCTTTGCTTCTTGGGAAAGGTAGAGCAGACATGTATTTTCTCTCTTTAGTCTCCTCATTCATTAAATTCTTATCCTTCTTCTTCTTCTTCTTCTTCTTCTTCTTCTTCTTCTTCTTCTTCTTCTTCTTCTTCTTCTTCTTCTTCTTCTTCTTCTTCTTCAAAGCATCATCTACCCTCTCTTCACCTTCTTGATTGTTGCTATATTTCTGCTCCTCCACAATCTCTACATGTTCTTCAATCAACTCATCCTTTTGTTTTTGCAATGGGGTCTTTCAATACTTTCCCACTTCTCAATGACACTACATTTATTGTTTCTTTTAGATTTCTTTCAGTATCACCAGGAGAGTTACAGGAACCCTCTCAGATAATAGATTTGCACATTGTCTCAGCTGTCTTTACAAGCTCCGTATGGTTGTTCCATGAGCTTCAAGTCTCTCATCTATATTAATGATAAACACTTTCATTATATGTTCCATGCAAGACTAGTGGGACTGTTGAGGCTGGTATTGCTGTCTCTACTGATTTAGAAAATCTGGAGCTCCTTGTCCCTAGGGTATGTAGTTATTTTGTTGTCATGCATTCGCACTATCACTGGGTGAACTCCACGAAAATCTAGGGTGCATCTGTCCCATGGAATTGAAATTATTACTACTCTAGTAGTTGCCTCTGTCAAAGCATTCCACAAAATTTACCACTTCATCTGTAGTCGAGGCATGACACTCATGCGTGGGATGACCCATTCCACAAAAGTCACAAAATGATGATGTCTGGCTCTGGACCTTGGCTGAAGTCAACTTTCTTATCTCTTTGACCATGGTGTCTAGCTGGGCTAGAACAGATATGTTAGAGTCTACCTGGTGAGCCCCAACTGATTTCTTCTATCATTAATCTCATCAGGCCATTGGTTAGCATCTTCAGAGTGCTTATGAAAAATCACAACAATATCTTCAGGAGTTTTCTTCATTAAAGGGCCGCCCACTGTAGTACTGAGAGTTCATCGTAAGGAGGATGTTAGTCCATCCCAAAAGCATTGGAGTTGCATCCACAATTCGATTCCATTATGATGACACCTTCTCTCTATTTCCTTGAATATTTCCCATGCTTCAAAGACTGTTTCAGTATCCTCTTGGCAGAAGTCATGGATTTCCCTTCTGAATTTCATTATTTTTGCAGCTAAAAAGTACTTCTCAAGAAACGTTTTCGTCATATCTTCCCATATCTTGATTGACCCAATTGGTAAGCTTCGAAGCCAGTGCTTCGCACCATCCTTTAGTGAAAAGTGGAATGCCCTTAAGTAGACTACATCTTTCGAGACTCCATTATACTAAAAGGTGTTCATGATTTCCTTAAAGTCCATCAAGTGAGTATTAGGATCTTTATGCGCCTTCCATCTAAAGACACAGTTGTTCTGAATGGTTTGAAGAAAACCTTGCTTCAACTCAATATTATTTGTTGCTATGGGTGGAGGTCAGACACTTGTTAGTCACTAATTATAGACTGGTCTAGCATAATCAGCTAATGCTCTTCCAGGCCTGGGAGCCATATTTTTGAACTAGTCTCAACCAGGGGTCAATTTAGATTGAATCTTCAACTCCCATCATCTTCGATAGTTTCATCAGCAGCTCTAAGGGCTACTTCAGCTGCTATCAGTGCAACTTACTCTCTTTATTGTACTACCTCTCTTGCAACTAGGTCTACTCCATCATCACCGTTCTTGGCCATGTGTTCTTGGGTTAATGATTGCCCCAAGAAATTTCATGTGAGTTCTTTCTCTTTCCTTGACTTTGTGAGATGCTTTTCCATCTCTGGGTCGTATGGAATCACTTCTTTTGAATAAGATGAAATCATATACCAGAGAAGTTAAACATGCTCTAACGATAACTCTAAGATGAGGGAGTTAGAAGTCGAATTTTAAGTCTTAGAAAATGACTTAAATAACATATGCAGCCATTGCAAGGCGAGGGAGCAACCGTGAAGAATAAAATGAAATTAGTCCCTGAATTAGCACCGAAAACTAATTTTGAACACTACTGATTACCAATCACCGGCAACGACGCCAAAATTTGACGAGCAAAAAACACAACACGAAATTAATGCTCGCTAGCCAAATGTAGTATAATATAATTATCATCTCAACATGGATTAAAATTAAATAATGTTCAAGTAATTTCTATTGTAACACTATTTTGGCTGACTAACACTTTTATTTGAAGGATTATGAACTTAAATTAACTTTTAACATTAAAGCAATTATAAAAATTAATAATAGAGAACTCGAGAGTAAATCAATGGGTTATCACCAAGACGAAGGATAAGGGTTTTGACATGATAGGTGCAAGACTATTATCCTGGATATGACACTGTTATATTTCATTTTTGAGGTTCTATCGATTCTCACAAATTCAATAAGTGATTATCTTTTACTTCCGATTCAGGCTCCTTTCTCGATTAAATCTAAATCTTTCAAATAAATTAATGTGAAGTGTGGTGAAACTTGCAAGAATCTATTTTTAGAAATAATCTAAGAGAAACTTCTCGCGGATATTTCTCAATATTAATTTAAACAGTAACTCAAAATACTATCTCTCGATTATTTCAAAGAATCACCAAAATAAACTAAGGCATATGCTGCAATAATATACAATAAGATATTCCTCTTTCCATTAAATACTATAAAGAATAAAATCACAAATAATATTAAAGCTCCTCCAATAAATTCAAGCAATTAAACAGTAGTGAAATCCATAAACAACAACCAAGTCACCAAATCATGTCAAACCCTTAGGTAAACTACTCCATAGATATGTAGAAAGTCATCACAAAGAGTTAAAGAATAAGAAAGCATTAATCCAACGTTACAACCCACACTCGTGTATTGAATTGGTAGAAGGAAGATGAACTCATATGTCTTTGAGCCTCCAATGCTCTCCAAAAGCTCCCAAGGTCACAACTCCTTTAAAAATTGTGTTTTTGGTCTAATTATACAATATAGAAATGGGCCCAGACGAAACTATTCTTTCCAAGTCGAAGTGGGAAAATTGGACCGCGAAAAGTACACTAATGCTTCGCACCCTGCGTCGCGCCCAATCTCACGCTAATGTAAATTTTGAGAGAGCAGGTTTTTGTCAGACATGCCATTTTGCACTATCGCGACGTGCCTCGTGGTGATCCATGCGGCGCGACTATGATGTTTTTTCAGAGTAAATTGTTTCCTCCATTTTATGGTATCGAAACTTGGTCCTTGATCCCCAAACCCGTTCCTGGCTCAATTTCTTAGACTTTTACTCAAACTTCAAAGCTCCAACTTATTCGATTTAGCTCTAAATTATATTAATAGCTCAGAATCATTTCCTGAAAGGCATAAAACATATAATAAGCACAAATCACTATCATTTAAGCTCAAACACACATAAAGTGCAATAATTTAAGTGTAAACTATGACTAAAATACGGGTTTCTATCCTACCATCAACACCTCGCACTTAAACTATTGCTCATCCTCGAGCAATCAAAATAAACTTCACATGGAGACAACCTTTTTATCAAACAACACCTTAACGCATCAAACCAAGAATATTTAAAATAGACTAAGCATCCTATCATAACATCCTTGCCTCAAAACTCGACTCAAAAGCACCACACTTTTTTCACAACCTGCTCCTTAGCAAGTCATGTGCTCTCACACAAAAAATAGATAGTAGTTCCACACAAAATAAAATTCAATAACAAATAGGAACTCAAGATAGACAGAATTCACTCACTCTCAAAATCAAAATGCATATGCCACATAAGACATATCATAGGCTTGCTCGTAGTGTAATTCTACTAATCTAGCTTATTCAGTCAAAGATCAAGTTTATTTTTTGCCTTCTTTATGTACATCCCACACTTGTCATGCTTACCCTCTCCAGCTTGCTCTTTTACGGCCCTTGCCTTGAATTCAGAGTGTGCAATCAGCTCGTCTCTAGGTGCTTCCGTTGGTTCATCCATCTTGAAAACCACTCTTTCTTAGACTTAGCTACCTTTCCTGAATGTCCAAAATAGCTCTGCTAGTAGCCAGGAAAGGTCTCCCTAAAATCAGAGAGACCTCCCTATTCTCTTCCATATTCACCACATTGAAGTCCATAGGGAACACAAATTTATCCACTTGAACTAGCACATCTTCCACTATTCCTTCAGGTGTGATTGTTGTATGATCTTCCAGCTGCAAAGACACAAGTATAGATCTAATTTTTCCAATCTCTCCCTCCAATTTCATGAAAATAGAGAAAGGTATAAGAATAATAGAAGCACCTGAATCACACAATGATTTTTCAAACTTAGCACTTCCTAAAGAGCAAAGTATAGTAAAACTCCCTAAATCTCCACACTTTTTAGGGAGCTTATTTTGTAGAATGACACTACAATGCTTTGTGACATTGACAACCGATGTCTCTTCCACCGTAAGCTTGTTAGGCAATATCTCCTTCAGAAACTTAGCATAGACAGGCATCTGAGAGAGCACCTCTGTGACATGTAGATAATATGCACCTGCTTGAGTACTTCTAGAAAACGCCCGAATTGTTTGTCCAACTTCTCTCTTATTTGCTTCTTGGGAAAAGGTAGAACAGACATGTATTTTCTCTCTTCGATCTCCTCATTCATTGAGTTCTCATCCTTCTTCTTCTTCTGAGCTCTATTCTTCCCCTTCTTCTTCAAACCATCATCTACCCTCTCTTCACCTTCTTGATTGTAGCTATTTTTCTACTACACAATCCCTACCTGTCCTTTAATCAACTCATCCTTTTATTTTTCAATGGGGTCCTTCAATATGTGCCCACTTCTCAAAGACACCGCATTTATTGTTTCTTTTGGATTTCTTTCAGTGTCAGTTGGGAGAGTTCCTGGAACCCTTTCAAACAATAGATTTGCAAGTTGTTCCATCCATCTCTCCAAGTTCCTGATGGTTGTTCAATGATTTTCAAGTCTCCCATTTGTCTTAATGATAAATGCCTTCACTATATCTTCCATGCTAGACTGGTTGGACTATTAAGGCTAGAATTGTTGCCTCTGCTAATTTAGAAAACCTGGAGCTCCTTGTCCCTGGGGTCAGGAGTTATTCTGTTGCCAAGCATTTGTAGCAAAAATTCGGGGTGCCTATGTCACATGGAATTTAAATTATTGCTACTATGGTAGTTGCCTCTATCAAAGCTTCCCACGTCATTTACCACTTCATCTTTAGTAGAGGCTTGACACTCATGCGTGTGATGATCCATTCTATAAAAGTCACAAATTGATGATGTCTGGGTCTAGACCTTGGATGAGGTTAACTTTACTATCTCTCTTGCCATGATGTCTAGCTAAGCTTGGACTGATGTATTAGGGTCTACTTGATGAACCCCAGCTGATTTTCTTCTGTCATTATTCTCAACAGGCAATTGGTTAGCATCATCTGTGAGCTCATCAAGAATCGCAACCATCTCCTCAGGAGTTTTCTTCATTAAAGAACTACCATTGTAGTACTCAAAGCTCGGCATGAGGAGGATGTTAGTCCATCCCAAATGTCTTGAAATTGCATCCGCAGTTCGATTCCATTATGCAGATAGCTTCTCACTATTTCATTGAATATTTCCCAAGCTTCGAAGGCCGTTTTAGTGTCCTTCAAGCAAAAGTTGTGGATTTCACTTCTGAACTTCATTGTTTTTGAAAATGAGAAGTACTTGTCAAGACACTTTTTCATATCTTCCCATGTACTGATTGACCCAGTTGCTAAGCTTTGAAGCTAGTACTTCGCTTCGTACTTCAGTGAAAAGGGGAATGCCCTTAAGTAGACTGCATCTGTCGACACTCCATTGTACTGAAATATGTTCATGATTTCTTCAATGTCAATCAAGTGAGTGTTAGGATCTTCATTTGCCTTCCCTCTAAAGACAGTTGTTCTGAATGGTTTGAAGCAATCCTTGCTTCAACTCAAAATTATTTGCTGCTACGGATGGATGTCTGACACTTGGCAGTCCCTTATTGTAGACTGGTCTAGCATAATCACCTAATGCTCTTCCGAGTCTGGGAGCCATATTACTGGTCTTCAACCAGAGGTCGATTTAGATTGAATCTTTGACCCCCATCATCTTTGATAATCTCATCAGCAACTCTAAGGGTTGCGTCAGCTGCTATCCGTGCAGTCCGTTCTCTCTATTCTGCAGCCTCTCTTGCAACTAGGTCTACTCTATCATAACCATTCTTGGCCATGTGTTCTTTGGTTAAAGATTTCCTCAAGAATTTTTCGGTGAGTTCTTTTTCTTTTCTCAACTTTCTCAGACGCTTTTCCATCTCTGGGTCGTATGGAATCACTTCTTTTGAAAAAGATCAAGTCATACACTAGAAACGTTAAACTTGTTACCTGTACACAGAAGAGAATAACGTTGAAGAATAAAATAAAATTAGTTCCTAAAATAGCACCAAAAACTAGTTTTGAACACTATTGATCGCCAATCCCCGGCAACGGCGCCAAAGTTTGACAAGCACAGAATATAACATGAAATTGATACTCGCTGGCCAAAGATAGTATAGTATAATTATCGTCTCCACAATGATTGGATTTAAATAATGTTTGATTAATTTCTGTTTTAACGCTATTCAGGATGACTAAGACTTTAATTTGAATGATTATGAACTAAAATTAACTAATAAGATTAAGCAATTAACAATTCATCACAGAGAACTAGAGAGTAAAGAAATGTGTTATTACCATGACGAATAATATGGGTTTTGACACTTCTCCCCCAATTAAATTTGGATCTTTCATATAAATTAATGTGAAGTGCGGTGAAACTTGCAAGAATATATTTGTAGGAATGATCTAAGAGACACTTCTCGTGAATATTTTGCAATCTTAATTTAAACAGTAACTCAAAAAGCTCTCTCGATTACTTCAAAGAATCACCGAAATAAACTAAGTCATACACTGCTATAATATTCAATAAGATGTTTCTCTTTCAATTAAATACTATAAAGAATAAAATCACAACTAATATTAAAGCTCCTCCAATAAATTCAAGCAATTAAACAGTAGTCAAATCCATAAACAATAACCAAGTCATCAAATCATCTCAAATCCTAAGGTAAACTACTCCATAGATATGAGGAAAGTCGTCACAAAAAGAGTTAAAGATTAAGAAAGCTTTAATCCAACGTTACTATCCATATTCGCGTATTGAATTGGTAGAAGGAAAATAAACCCGTGTGTCTTTTAGCCTCTAATTGTCACGACCCAAACCTAGGGGCCGCAAGGAGCATCTAGTACATTACTTAACCAAGTACCAACATAACATATCTTTTCGTATCATACTATCATAGGTAAATGAGCCAGAGAGGCTGTCGTGAGATAAGTACAATAAAACATGGAGAAATGCTCGTGATTGGACGATCCAACATGTAATCCAAACTTATACATTTGACGTACGGGCCTATATGGCCAGCATGATCCTTTATATATTCAAAACATAGGCTGACAAGGACATACAAGTATCCGTATACATGATATCTGTCTACAAGCCTCTACGAATAGGTAATATCATAAAGGTCAGGACAAAGTACTGCCATACCAAACAATACACATCTAATCATACTAACCAAACAAGCAATTCTGAAGCAAATGGAGCGCATCAATATCTTCCGCTGAGCTGATAGCCTACTTAGAGGGCTCTCGACTTGTCTATTGGGACCTGAAGGCATGAAACAAAGTGTCCCCAAGCAAAAGAGACGTCAGTACGAATGATGTACTGAGTATGTAAGGAATGAAATCAGTGACTAATAGACATGAGAGAAACATGGAGTAAAAAACTCGACATGTAAGTCTGAATAACTCCGTAAATCATGAAATAATTATAGTGTCATGCATATGCATGTGAATGTCATGTCGTGCATAGGTACATGTTTCATAACATCATCATGCCTCTAAGGGAATCCTATCATATCATCTCGGCCACTGTGGGCAAAATCATCAATGTATACCAGTTGATCAGGTGGTGGTGCATATATAACGCAATAACCTTTCTCATATCCCATATATATAGAACGCCATCTGTTCATGGGTCAATGTACATGCATAAATGCATGAAATGCATAAGAAACACATTAATAAGATTTTCTCGGAATGCCATAAAAATCAATATGCCTCTCGGATAAACTTTATAAATATGTATTTTTCTGAGACCCACGAACAAAATATATAATAATAATTCGCACAGGGAATCAAGAATATAGACACCCCCAGTATTTTTATGAATAAAGTCATTTATGGAAATTGTGCATTTGTTTGTTTTGCTTGTGACATATAGATCATGCCAAAAGAAATAAGGGATATCCTTAACATACCTGGACCGATTCTCTTGACAATTCCTCTAATGCACGTTTTCGAAGAACACATAACGGCAGATCGAAGTAGGGAAAAATCCATATGATATTCTTGAGAAAGATTGTACCATACACCATAAGAATCGCAATTTCACACTTTACAGAATAAAAAACCAATAACCGAATCTCTTGGAATTTGTATGGAATTGTTTTGATTACCTCTCACGATCAGATCACTCTACTAACACAAGAGACCCAATTTGATTTTTAAGATACACATGACTTTACATTGCCAAAAATGTGTAGTAACTTGATGGTCTTGCTAATTGTAGAAAGCCTTTGGGTGTGACCCACTTGGTGGATGACTAAGCCATCCTAATCCCTCAAAATATGACATCTAGGCAAGACTTAATGAGTCTCTTTAAATTGGATGGGGGTGCTACCACATAATTCCATAATTGGGGGTTTAATCATTATCCAATAATTCTATAATTAATTAGGTAATATCTCATTACCCAATAATTAATCAATTAGCCACATAATTAAGAATTATCTCAAATCACTTAAAATACTACTCACTTTTAACATACCTTATACACCTTACTATAATGGTTATGTGGTACCTTGTATCGTACTAGTCCATAAATATAGGGTATTATAGCTTAATATTTTACCCCAAAATGTCAAATTTTGATGAAATTCATTTTCTTTGATTTACTTACCCTCTCACCTTCACGAATTTACTCATCACTTATTTGAAATAGCATAATACTTATAATCTTACAATAATCTCATTCCCAAACTTACGTCGATTAACTTATGATGAAACTTTATCGTACGAAAATGCTGGATGTAACATCGCATTTCTGAGCTTCCATTTCATGTACGAAAACATAGGGTGTAACATCATTCCCTCATTTGGAACATTCTCCCTCGAATGTTGACTGATGCACTTATCATTCTTATAACCCATAGCTTTTTCGAATACTTTAATATTCTCCTTTCCATTTAGAAAACTGTTGTTTGAATAAATTCAAAGGCCAGGGCATTCCCTCCTTTGAGCTTCTTTCTCTCACCAAGACTTAGAGTCGGAATCCTTCTAATCTCGTAACTGTTGCTACCTTCTATCATGCAGTCTGTACGACTCTAACTTTGTATGTGCGCCTATGCGACGCTTCTCTCCCCTTTCCTCTAGCTCTTAGCCAATCTCTAGGCCTCACTTTGTGAACATACACAAAATTATGTCAAGTTGTCCCTCTGTGCATCATTAGCTTTATTAAATCTAAGTAGGACGTACTATACCATAACTCTTACTTCGATTTATTGTTACTGAGGTCTGCAACAAAACTCCAGGTTACTCTTGTTGCTTATCCTATATGCATAAAGCTAAGCCCGTTAACGCTTCTTCATTACTGTTCATCTTGAGAATGATGGTCTAATCTCATCTCGTACTTTGTATCATTTATTCATCTATTTTTGATTCACCTCAATGTTGATCTACAATCTTCCATTGATAATTTTAAACCTCTTACGTCATCACTAGGGCTAACGTTGCATCATGGAACATTAAGAGTGATTTTCCTGATCCACCTGGGGTCGATATAAACTATTATTCCATAATCGTATGTGATAACATCACAATGTGATTTACCTTACGTGGTTATTTTAATCCTGTACAATTTATGAAATCATTACCCAAAAGTCATCCTTTATGTATCACAATTACACCCTAATTTTATTACCAAGGCAGCATTCCACCTCTGCTAAATGCTATTAGGCTTAGCCTCCTTTGAGTTCATTCAAGCTATACTGGACTTTCTATAACTTAGAGAAACCATTAGCTTTCTTGTTTTCATGGGCTTAATCCTGAGGACTTATCCATTCTCGTCACCTTCTCACTCGCCCTTTCTTGTTCTTACTCCCATCATAAAACTTTGTTGCTTTACTATATTTTAGCTTGGGACCTATACATATCTATTTATACTATTCGCGGCCTTCCTTCAACTTGCTTGCACCATAGATTTCCTTATGTTATTCTGGAACATCAAGCAAGACATCACATCGTCTCTAACTCTTCTTTACTCTCTTGACTAGATCTCTCGGTACTTAAAAACCATAGGCTAGAAGGTACGCCACTGACGACGCTGCTATCATTCTTGGATATTTAATCCTAGTGCTTCTA